TCTGGGATTGTCTCTTGATCCAGTTTTTAGCCAGATCAGAGAAGTAAGATAAAAGAATCTCTTCGTGAAACTTCCAGCAATAACGTTAACCGTTAACTTAATTACGTTAATTATGATTTCCATAAGTTATGTTGCTCTGCATACTAAAGATGCACTTTGAGTGATTTCACAAGTAAATACATGAATAAAATGCATATCATTCAGTTGGTTGTTGGTTCCTTGATCTCTTTTGTATCCCCGTGTGGCGGAATACTGTGATTTTCATAAAAGCATCTGAGAGGAAAGCCATTTTGGATGCTTTTTTAATTCTCTATTTGCATATCTTTTTCTCAGCTTCAGTTGGGAAGGAATCGGGGTTGGGATTCCAATCGAGTGTTAGAAAAAAGTTTCTAACGATAAAAGGGGCCCCTCAGTGGAGCCAATGACCCTGAAAGGGTTAGGGTCCTCTTCCCTGGGTGAATTCAAGCAGAATTCTGGCAGGAAGGGGGTAAGTTGGATTCCTGCACTGAGGAGGGGTTGGATGGATGACCTCAGAGGCCCCTTTGAAGTCTGGGATTCTGTCTTAGCAGAGGCAGAGGAAGAAGTGGATTAATCTCTTGCTGGCTGGGGAATTCTGGGAGTTGAAGTCCACCCAGCTTAAAGTGGCCAAGGTTGAGAAACTATAAAACACTTTGTAGCTCAACATGCTTGGCCATCGAACGCATTCCGCTTTCTTAGAATTTCCCGTGTTGAAGTCCAACACTTGTGGAAGGTGTTGGTTGTGTGTAATAAATTCCCTACAACACAATCCTGGGGCTGTTTATTCAGAAATAAGATGTACCCAATTCAATGGGATTTATTTGCAGGTATATCTATCTAGGGATGTAGCTTCAGACTATAAAGAGCCCCTAAACCAGGGTTCCTCAGGCTGGCTGGGGGATTCTGGGAACTGAAGTCCACATGTCTTAAAGCTGCCAAGGTTGAGAAACCTTGCACTAAACTCTTCTTTTGTGACATACTGTTAACAAATACATTGCTCTTCTCTGAAAATAATCCCCAGAACGTCTTGCTGCACTTTTCATTCTCCTGCCAACTTTTGGGGAAGAGGGGATTAAAGAGGGAAGCCTCCTGTCAGTTCTATTTAGAAGGGGCTCACTGAAAACAATGCATGGATTTTAAAAGGTTCTAACACGGATGTAAACTGGAATTCACAGAAGGAAGGGAAGGAAAAGGGAGGGGAGGGGAACTGGAAAACAAGGGAAAGGAAAGAGAAAGAAAGGAAAGAAAAAAAAAGACACGGAAAGGAAGGGGAACTGGGAGGAAAGGGAAAGGAAAGAAAGAGAGAAAAAGAGACAGAAAGGAAAGGGAACTGGAAAGAAAGGGAAAGGAAAGAGAAAGAGAAAAAGGGAAAGGAAGGAAGGGGAACTGGAAAGAAAGGGAAAGGAAAGAGAAAGAGAAAAAGGGAAAGGAAGGAAGGGGA